AGCCAGGAGTTTTGAGTACATTTTTTATTTAGAGCACGCCCTCTGTATATATCATTGTGAATCTATAATTTCATGCTGACCATTTGGTAATAGCTTCCTCAAAGAACACATATGTTCTAATGCCTGCCCACTTAGTCTGTAATAACAACAATTTTTACGAACATATTAGGGAGTTTTCGAATAGGGGACCCAAAAGTTTGGGGCCCGAAAGCCTTTTGCGTATGTATGCTTTGAGTCAAGCAGGTGTAAAGTTCTCAAATAGGGTCTGCGGTGCTTTGGACGCTCACCCAATTCTTGGTCACTGTAGTCTTGGCCAAGAGTCCCTTCACTTCAGTGGGTGCCGTAGCATTTGTCTGACGCAGAGCTTTTGGAGTAGGCTTTGGGGATCCCGCCAAATTCGAGAAATAGTGTCCCAAACACGGTTTGAATTTTGCGCATGCGCAGTGGCCTTGGCGCTATTTCTCTGGGGTATTCCAAAACTCCCTATTGCTCATAGGTTAAGTTTCTTCCACATTATCAAAAAAGGCCCTCGACCTCCGAGTTCTTTCTAAACCAATGGGAAAGAGAATTCACAACAGTGGTAATGGTTCTTTACATGAAGCTGTTCCCCATGTAGGAACCAAAGTATCTATTACGTACTTGCTTTTTGAAAGTGCGCCCCTTTGCGAACATTACAGCCTCCTCAAATTCATATTCTGCATTGTGAATAGCTGATGGCGACAGAAAAAAGTGCAGCAGGGCAACCAAATAAATCAGACGCCGGAAGTACTGTATTGGTCTAAATAAATCTCTGTTGTCGCCAGTACTCGTTTGCCATTAAAAAAATTAACTGAGGACGAAAGGCGAGGAGGCTAGCAAGCACAGGGAAACCGCTTTGCTACCTACTCCTGCGAACAGGATGGGGAATATTTAAATATGGAGAGTAAGAAGAGAGAAATACTACAGATAACACAGCACACACGCACATCACCGAAAACTAGGAGAAGTGAAAGCGTATACAGTGCTCAAACCATTTGTCCTCAACTTCCTGAGAATCTTAAACGAACGATAGGAGTGCGGACTTCCGATTGGCATTTGAATGCGCCCTGGACTTCCTCTAGTCTTTATGCCTCAGTGCTTACCATTCGAGCTCAGACGGAAGCAAACGAAACGAAGAGACAGAGGAAAAAACGAGTTGCCCAAGAGGAGAGACTGAATTGGCAGAGGGCCATCTCCGCAGCTGTGTGCGTATTCGTTCGTTCAGTCACGGGCCCGAGGAGATGTTGACTGCCGGTGCGTGCCCTTATCTCGTGCGCGGAACGCTATGTATAGCATCCGAGGAAGCGTCCCTAGGAACTCGGCGCGGGGAAGCGGTGCGCGAGCATCCGTCTGGGTTGAAAAACGGCCTAAGAGGACTGAAAAGCCAAGCCCTCACCACCGCACACCCTCCGCCATTGATTTTTGTCGCTGTTTTACTTTCCCGACTTTTTCGCAGAGTTCGTAAGAAGTGCGGGTTTCGAGAGACACACGTGATGCTGTGCGTTTTAGTTTCATTTGAAAGACGCTTAGGAAGGTTCTAAGGGCAACGCTAGCTGGAACCCGTACCCGAAAAGACCAATGAAGGGGGAATATCTGCAATGCGATGTGGGTGCGGAGCCAGGCTATCAGCCCAATTTCTAAAGATAATGAACGATGGATAGTAAAATCGATCAGAGAAGAATCCACGTATACAAGCGTCAGGCGAAAATATCTCTAACGCGTGTCCTTAAAAAGGCATCATTGTGGCCCTTGTGGCCACTGATTAAGGTGCAAGTGTCAACAAGACTGTTAACATAACCTTCGGGCGGCAAACGACTCAAAACATTGCATGGCTCAGCGGTTACGAGAAGGTAGCAGGTTGCAAAACACACGATAAAACGTGGGAGGATGCTGAGAAGGTAGCAGGCGAGTCGAAAACCACACGCAAATGCATAGATGCACATCCTGGCAAAAAGTACCACACACAAATATCAGCACAACTGGGTGCTACGAAACGTACTGGCGCCCTATATACAGACGAGCACACGAACACTTTAGCAAGTTCTTTCCCTTTAAGCCTTTAAACCAGTGAAGCAGATTAAGTTTGCAGCAAATCACAGTAAGGGTTCTGCTGGTTGTAGATAGTCGAATGCAATTCCAGAATAAGTAGGCTTTTTAGATCGCAGTTTGTAATTGGTATTCTGCTGGTACTGCAACAATAAAAAGTGTATTTCTAGTTACAACCCTCTTGGCTACTCCTTCCACCTAAGCCGAGGTCACATGTCGTTGTGGTAGTTGTTGCTGTTGTCACCAAGAAACAAGGCAGCATAGAATGAGTCCGCAACTAGGTTCCTGGACGAATGCTAACCTCACACGCTTCAGCCTCTGTCGACATACCAACGACGACACGTTCATTGAGGTTGAAGGCCTGAATAACCAGGGTCTCGTTACCTTCTTCCGCACATCTTCAATGCAGCATCGACGAAAGTCTTCAATAAGCATTGAAACCTCAAACGCTTCTTGTTCCACTCAACTGCGTTACTTTTGTGTCTAAGCAAACGTCACCGAAAACGGTGAGCTGCTCGTTGTGTACAATGTAGACACCGACAGAAAACTAACTCCATTGGACCTGTCTAAGCTTGAAAGAAAGCTGTGCGAAGAAGGTTAAGTGAACCCATTTATTCATCGCAAGCAGCATCAGGCATATCTGAGGAACTTTCAACAAGTTCTACTTTATGAGAATAAACATGCACTTTTTGTCACAGCACAAAAGTTATTTCTGGTCATTATGAAATAATTATGAAACCCATTACGAAACCTAAATCTATGCCGACAGTGAATAATAGTGATTCATACAAAGGATGTACCCGTGATCGATGAAAGAATCGGGGAACCCCATATACAGAAACTTGTAATAGCACAACTTCTTTAAAAAAATCACCTAGTCTTGATGCTCGGGACATACTTATGAATCCAGCTGACATATCAACGGCAGAGAGGAAACGGAATCATTGCGAGTGCGACCAGCAGATACATTGCCACAAATGAAGAACTATGTTCGTCAACTAAGTAAATAAACAGTGTTCATGAACCAACTAGCCCAACTAAAAGCCCTTTTGAACTGCTTAGGTGAAATGTGCTTATTTTAGCTTCTTTGTTTTGACGAAAAATTCATGTACCCTTTCACCGTATGGTACTTGTTAATAGTGGAACTACAGTGATACAAGCATTTCTAAAAGACCGTTAGACTGTACCATATACGTAAGATGTCTCGCTCAGACTACTTCGTTTAGATTGCTGCTTGTTGGATTCTAGCTGTACGAGGGAATCGGAAGTACGTCCTTATATGTGACGGCTCCGTAATCCAGCACCAAACGCATCTTACGATACGGCAGCTTCAGTTATCTGCATTTTTATCTAATCACAGTAATCTAGTGAAGACACGAGTTCAAGAGAGGCAGAGTAGACAGCGACCCAAACCGGTAGTAGATTCTTTGGCTTGGGCATAACTGCAAGTTTGGATCAGCCACAACCACTTATGCAAACCATGGACATCCAAGCTACGCTCCATAGTTATGAGGACGTTCATTTGTAGCACTGCAACCCCTGAATCCGAACTTGCTGGCACGGAACTCCCAAGCAAAGGCGCTTGCTCATTGGCCAAAGCGTTCAGGTGCCCACCCCTCTAGACGAAGTTCAACGCTGCGAAAAATCGAATGCCGCTGCAGTAGGCGATCGCAGAGCATCCCTTATTAGGAACAGTTCCCCGAACTACATCCTAAAACAATAAAACTTGCTCGCGCCAGTTGACATACGTTTTACTGTGACTTCATCTACAAACGTAAATACTTGCGGTCATTGTCACTAACACATTTTCTGTACCTCTTAAGGTACAGAAAATGCTATGAATAGTCAAACAATGGGTCATTTAAGCCGTGATTTTACGTTCCTAGTTGAACAAGCTAATCAAAGCTTCTATTGTGGTACAACAAAAGGCTGCGAGAGCATGCGAGAACCACTCATTCGCCTTCAAACTTCTCTACGCATAACGTACAACACAACTCTTGCAGCCAGAGCCGCATTTAGAAGGACGCTTACGTCAGGACACAAATGCGCATATCAATCACGCACGCTACAGTGGTACACAGAGTATAAATACGATGCCTATTACAGTTCTCAAAAGTCGTCCATAAAAAAGCAATTATCACTCGCATGTGACAACACAGGCTTGGCAACATGCGGCACAACCACTACTGATGCGAAGCCTTTCACAACATCAAATATGGCCGATGAAACAGAGCATTCATGTCGTTGTCCCTTGAGAAGTAAGGGTGTGGATGAGAGAGAAGAACCCCACTCCTCGTTCTCTCAGTGAAACCGAACGCAGAAGAGAGAGTCCGGGAGAGTCGGTGTGACCTTGGTTAATTTCTGCATTTTTTTTTTGTTCTGCCCTTTTGCACGACTCCGCACTTTTGAATGACTTAACCCTTGCAAGCAATACCCTGGTGGTACGTGCAACCACCTAAAATATCGGCTGTTTCTTTACAGCAAGGCCGCTGGGAGGGCATAACATTCTCAACAAGCATCTTACGCTTCTAAAAATTCAGATCGACTTCTGAACACTGCGTAAGGTAGCTTATGGTGGAAATTTGCTGGTCGGTCTAAAGGCTGGGCTAAGTGTATTTGATCTATCCTCACTTTGGCTACGTCACACGACAGGCAGCATTCTGCCATCAGTTATACTCGTTTTCTTTAGTCCTTAGCCGCTTTTTGCAACCTATTCACACATAAAACCCTTATTCTCATCTAGTAACTTCATTTCTTTCAGCTATGCACCAAACTTGCTTTTTGTTCTCTAATATGGTAATAATATATGGGGCTTTACGTCCCGAAACCACGATATAATTATTAGTTACGCCATACTTCTGACCAGAAATTCGGGCCATCTGGTGCTCCTGAGCCTGCAAGAACAAGATCTCTCCAACTTGTGCGTCATGCTTTAGTAAACGGGAGAAACTGCAAAAAAAAAGGCAGTCACTAAAACTTCACTGACGATGTTTGAAGGTAATTTCTTGCAATCAGCCAATCGAGAATATTTGTCTATTCATTCCACAGTCGCCATTCAACCTAACTTTCTACCATATCTTGTCTTCAGCTTCAGCTGGTCTAAAAGTTAAAGGGGCAAAGTTTTACCCAATCTCTGGTGCTCTATATAATAAATGACGTAGCCTGTTCACATTCTTGGTCCATTCTGTAAGAGCCTCTGAGCTCGGTGAACCGTGACTGCTACCGATCTCTGACACCTCTTTTGCGTTCGATTTCACCCGCGCGCGGAATCCCACATCATCACATTCGACTCCGACTGACCTACGTGTCACACGCATGCGCTCATCGATCCACGTGCAGCAGCGTGGCTGGTGCCAGGCTATGTCTTGTTCTCAATTTCTTGGTGGGGTATTCGACATTGGGATGTGGGCACCTCAAGCGGTCGTTGAAACACCACGGTTGCGGGAGTGGAAGGACTAGGAGCGTGGCTTGGCTGCCCTGGGAAGGAACTGGACGGCCTTCTGTCCGCGCGCCGTCCGTGGTCCCGGTTTGGGCACGCCCGACTTCTTGATGCCCAGGTACCAGCCTTTGTCCTTGTTCAGCTTGCTCAGGTAGAGGTTGTAGCCGCCCTCGTACATCTCGTAGAAGATGCCCTCTTCGTCCATACGGTTCTTCTAGAACAGCGCAACAATAAGGGAAAGGTAGGTGGTGGAAGGAGATGCGCGTGCGTTAGGAGATATCCCAGACTCTTTCTGAAAGTGCAGTCTAATCCTAAAGGCAGGGTTATTGTTAAATGGAGATAAATGTCGTTGAAGGCTCCCTAGTCTCCGTTAGTTACGAGAAGGTTGTTCTGTTATTACTGTCTCGAGAAAGCCCGAGTAGTGCATTTTAGGGGTGAAGCTCGTTAGGCCTTTGGTCGTTCCCTCCTCCGTACGTAGTACGTAGCCACCACTAGGTTATGACTTGCTCAATAGATGGCGTTGTGTGTATATGTCCTTGGGAATAATATAAAAAAGATGGCGTTATTCGTTTTAAACAGAGCGAATAATGATGAGTAGGGCGAAGGGTCCATCCGTCCGTGTGTACAACCGTCCGTGCGTCCGTCTGTTCACCCGTCCATGCATGCGTCCGTTCGTCTTCCGTTCGTCCATCTGTACATATGTCTGTTCGTTCATGCTTACATCCCTATGTCCATACGTTCGTCCGTGCTTATATCCCTCCCTCCGTCCATCCGCCTGTGGCATACTTTTCTTCTTCTGGCACGACACACTTGGGACATAAGCTAGTAGTGGGTAGTCTGCTGAAAAGAAAGAAGGAGTAGTTGGAACAATGGCGGAGATGCATAATTAAACCGCGCTTTGTTTTCGGAACCGCGTTTCAGAGTGCTATACTTATTGGTGACGCGGACGTGATGCGATGAATGCGGAACTTGTTCTCGACTTGAATGAACCATAAGGAGGGATCGGCAAGCCACAGCTGTGGTAGCGTCATGGTAGTAGTACCTCCAACAACACCCGAAGACGTTACATGGCCGGGTGCAGTGGCAGCGGTACCAGGGCTGAAGCTGTCGAGATGCTCACGCTGCTCCATGGAAGGTCACGTTCGTAGTAATAATAATAAGTATAGCACTCTGAAACGCGGTTGCGAAAAGACAGCGTGGTTCATTGATGCATCTCCGCCATTGTTCCAACTACTTCTTCTTTCTCCTCAGCAGACTACCCACTACTAGCTTATGTCCCAAGTGTGTCGTGCCATAAGAAGAAGAAAAGTATGCCACACGCCCATCTGTGCCTATATCCATCCATATGTACGTCCGCGCTTCCTTCAGTTCTGGTCCGCGCATTCGTGCCTCGGTCCGTCTGTTCGGACAGACGTACGGATGGACACACGTACAGACGGACGGATGGACACTTCGCCCCACTCATCATCATTCGCTCCGTGAATATGGTGCATTTTTTTGTTCTCTCGATTTCAGTGTTTCACGCAAAATACAATTAAACTATAGCGTGAACTTGCACTTCTAAATTTGTGCACTCACACTAGCTAAACGTGGAGGATGTCCGATCGCCTCAATGGCAAGAACTTGGAAGGTTTGTAATGCCATTTTGCGAGAGGAAACTCGCTGCTAATGTGACTAACTGGATCACTCGTCCTGAATAAACCCTCCATTTCAGCGACACATTTTTTTTTTTCCGGGATGCGTTCTGTCCTGTGGTAGCATATGCAAACGATTCCTACGGTTTGCTGCCAAGTCAAACGCTCGCTCGGACAGACAAAGAAACACATTCATACATCCAGAGAGAGCCAAGAACACTGACAGCGTGTCGAAGGACGGCTCTCTGCCGAGCTTCCTTCACTCTATTTTTGTGTATAGGAAGAGGGTGCGGAAAAGGTTGAGCACGTCCCTAGCTGACTGCACACGTGGGCGTAGAAAAGCACACACTATTTCTAACGGATTAGCGTTCGCTGTATTTACCTTGGCGTATACTCTGCCTTCGGCGTCCATGCAGACGAACAGTCCCGTCTCGACGCCACGGATTCGCACTTGGCCAATGTCGTGCGAAAGAAGCTCCAGGATTGCTGTGAAAAAAAAAAGAGAGCAAAATAACGTATTCTGTATGCCAGAAAATTTGCTCATTCGGAAACTAAAGGCACGACATTAGTAGCATCCATGGAGAGAACTTAGTAGAAAAATAATGAATGTTAAAGAAGACATTCAGAACACAGACTTCAATGGCTAGGGTAAATACCAGAAAGTAAAAGGAAAGGGACAACATGTGACGAGCGCAATAGAGGAAGGCAGAGAGCGATGCCCCCCTGCAAGGCAATTCGCTCAGCATACATAGCTGCGTAGACGCTTCAGAAAGCAGAGTTGTGTTTTTGTTGATTATGATGGCGGAAATATTCGGCTTCGTTGTTGGGAAAGCAATTTATCTGACAAAAGGCAAAGATATGTTTCCTGCAATAAAATGCAGAAGGATATGCATATGTACCGTTACCGCTCCAGAGGACAGTGTTTTGCTTGCCGTCGCTGCGGCGTTGGCGAAAGTTTTAGACAGAACCGTGTTTCAACTTGGAGGAACTTAAGTGGATTCATATTGGAAATATACATCAGCATGCTGATGGATGCGATGCCAGATTATGCATGACCATCCCATTTACGTACTGATAAAGTGTAGTGACTATAGCGTGTCTGTGGTAGAGAAGCAGTTTGTTGTATTTCAGGGGGTTTGACGAGATTGCGACATAGTCCATAAACACCTCGCCGGCGATGCGGACCGCTTTGCAACGCAGGAACACAGATACGTATACTGTTATTCATAGAAGGCGCTACATGACAGCTCCGTTATATCGTGTATGGTGTCACGTCCGATCATTGAAATGCGTCGCAGAACATGAGCTGCCGCTTATACAGCCTCGATCCATCACTACGTCTAAACTTGCCAACGAATATTTCACGACGTGAAGGTTGGCTCCTGTGTCGGATGCGGGAAGAAGAAGGCCTTTCGTGACTTATACAGCTATTGCGTCAGTTCAGTATGGATGTCTCATCCACGCATTCCAAGTGCGGATTTGAAGAAACAATCGATTAACTTACGTGTCACTGTTTCTTGTACGAGGAACAACGCCAGAGCATTTCGGTGTGCTTTGAATATAGCCTATATATATGGCTGGCCCTGGAGCTAAAGTCAGCCCCCCCCCCCTCCCCCACCTCCCAATTGATTCCTGCTATCAAAGCAAAATCTATGGATTACAGGAAGGCAGAAGTGCTCGACTGTAGATACGCTATTATGAACCTTGAGTTCACGTTCATAATTTACCCGCAATTGGTGTTGTAGTCCAGTAGAAGGCGTTACGCTGCTGAGCACCGACTCGTGCGTTTAATCCCAGTCGTGCGGCCTCGCTCCGATGGAAACGAAATTCTGTTGCCTTTGTGTACTCAGACAGAAATGGACGTAACAGAACATCAGATGATTAAAATTAATGCGGAGCCCATCGGTGCGATGCGCCTAATACGCAGATGGTCGTTTTGACGTGAAAATTTTAGTATTTGTTTAATTTTTATTCTTGATAATAAACGTAATTTCTAGAGCAGCGTGAGACAGAAAAATGTAGTAATGGTTCATTGTATCAGAGTTAAGAGAAAACTTTGTACCTTCTTAGCTGCTTGAGATGGAAAGTTGACAAGTAGTTATTTCCTCGGAAGATGGTAGAGGAGTGTATAACACTTTGGAGAGTGGTTAGTAGCGGAATTATTGCGGTCTATAAGCCCCGTACATAACTTCTTTTGTAACTTCGCAGAGAAAGTTAACCTTACTATGCCATTTCCTCTGTGCTCAGCAATAAATATCTTCACACAAAATAATTCACGACCCAGCTAGCCACGTTTCAGTTATGATTGCGTTGGCAGGTCGAACCATTTATTTTACTACTGACACAGTGGGCACAATATGTTTAATGTCATGAATATGTACTTATGTTACGTATATACTACGGAAGAACGCCTACGCAGAGCCAGTTCATAGGTGCACAAACATGCCACAAAATGACCGTTCGTGGGCGGGAAGTGTATTGAGAGCCTCAAAGCTAACGCAGACGTTTGCTCGTGACTGTGTAGTCAGGAAGCTAGACAGGTCTTCCTGTTGGCATGCTGGCTTGGTACCAAACCGCACTGAGGCTGCAGCCGTAGTTGTTTGTCTTCGTTTGTTGCTAATTATACGCAGATAGCCACATTCCCGGTGAACTTGTTTAACTACCCGTCAAGTGAGGAGCCGAGGAAGGAGGCCATTGTGGACCGTCAGGTGCGTGGCATGGCATTTGTCATAGGAACATACTGTTTTCACTCCTTAAAATACAAGGCACTGTCATGATCCTTGAACTACAAGGAAGGTCACTCTCTACGTCACACCAACTGGAAAAAAAAAAAACTGTTCTACACTCGTTATATAGCTACAGGTGGCACCGGTTAACACTTTCAAGATAACGAACAAATAATAATAATAATAATAATAATAATAATAATAATAATAATAATAATAATAATAATAATAATAATAATAATAATAATAATAATAATAATAATAATAATAATAATAATAATAATAATACCACGATATGGCTATGAGAGATGCCATAGTAGAGGGCTCCGGAAATTTTGACCACGTGGGGTTCTTTAACGTGCAACAAAATTTCAGTACGCTGGCTTCGAGCATTTTAGTCTCCATCGAAAATGCGGCCGGGATTCGATCCCACGAAATACGAAATAGAGCGAATAGGGAATCGACCACCGCTGTATGTCACTTGGTAGAAGATCGGAGGCTTTATCCGATCGAAGGTTGCGGGTGCAGCTCCTGCGAGCGGCATGTCAATTTTTACCCACTTCTTTTCCAGTCATGGCAATACACTACAGCTGAAAAACTACAATTATTCCCTATGCCTTCATAGGCTTGATTCTCTGTTTATTTAATTAGGTTGCGTTTAACTAAAAATATAAATTTCGTTTCCACAATAAACTTTCAAAAATAGCTGCAAGTGGCTTTTAGGGTTGCTCCCTTATTTTTTTTCACAATACCTTACTTTCATTTATTACGTTAACGAAAAAGAAAGGTCAATTGTGAAAATTTTTATGCTGTTCTCTGTTCCCGGAAGCATATAAGGGAGCATTTCATCTTCTTTTACAAATGATTTTTCTTTCCGCATCGGAATGGCAGGCGGTTCTGTCTGTGATCATTGCGACCGCGAGGAAGACATTCAACCCATCCCTCTGCTTTTGTCCCCTCCACAGCTAACAAACAGGCCCTTTCAGCAGTGGTAGCCTGCGTCGACAACCAGCTGCTTTTCGAGCAATCAATCTCAGAGTGCTGGAACGTGTGAGTTTCATATCTGAGAGCAACGAAGGCGCTGCCGAGGTCTTTTTACGAACAACCAGCCTCGTTGAACGACTATGACACTTCCGTGTTTGAGTGTGTGGGTGGTGATGTTTATACACCTCTCTCACTATCTTCCATTCTTTTCCGTCTTACTATCATTTCTCCTTATTCAACAACGAGAAATAGTCAACTCTATATCTTCGGATCCGTGCACCTGCCCGCCTACCACTTATCTTTTTCTTTGTCTTTCAAGTCTAAAGCTTTATACATTTCGCGAAGTAACGTTGCTGTGAGAGCATGCTATAGCATTATCACTATATTTCATCACTGTGGCTAACGTTATCGCAACAGAAAGATTTGTAATGGTTACGTGTGCTAGTAGCAGTGATGCAAGAAAGGTTTTATTTTAGGGTCAAAGTATGTTTTACTCACAGAAGCAAAACAGTGACTACTAAGTTATGTTAGGTAAAAACTTACAATAAAAGCATACTGTAAATCTCCAGAAAAACGATGTTATCACAGCGTTAGTCTTGCTTGTTTCACACAAAGAAAAATTAAGCTACCATGTAGAGCATACCATGTAGCGCTGTTTACCTTTACATTGTTTGAATATGCCTTCTCAATTTTTACGAAGACGGAAGCACCTGAGGTACTTGTTCACAAAGCATCCCTTTTTCGGCGCTTGCATTTGAATGAGCGTTTGTATGTTAGTTTGTTCTATCACACTAAAACAAATTGGGCTTGTCACCGACCAGCGGACTTAATAAAGTTCTTCATACCATACCATATATACCGACCAGCAGAAAAACCCTGAGCTGATGCTCGTATTATAAGCCTGAAAAAAACGTAAAAAAGAAATATTTAAGCAGCTGAATGGGCGTTTCAGTGCTCCTTTTACTAGATGTTGCTCGCAGCCTAAATTATAGACTCCAGCAAGGGGTACAAAGAGAGCACTTCACCTGCCCCCCCCCCCCCTCCCCCCCTGAGTTAAAATCTCGATTGATTGATAAGTAAGGTTTACCGTTCCAAAACCACCATATGATTATGAGAGACGCCTTAGTGGAGGGCTCCAGAAATTTCGACCACCTGGGGTTCTTTAACGTGTACCCTAATCTGAGCGCACAGGCCTACAGCATTTCCGAGTTAAAATCTTGGAGACGACAATAGCCTAAATAAAAATATAATACAAAGAAACAAAGCAAGGCTTGTAAAAATTACATGGGCACGTGATTACTCAGATTCAAAATCAAAAGTTGTAATTAGCTCAGTTAATTTCTATCTGTTTGATAGAGACACACACGGTTGCGACAAGTGCGCGACAGGGAGACGGAGGAGCCTCGATTCGCCGCTAAACATCGGCCACCTGTGAGGTCACGTATATAAGCGAACAAACAAATACAACTCTACCAGAACAATTTTACACACTTCCTAGTAAAAGGCACGGGCGCAAGGAAACGCTGTGATGCAGCTCTTCCCCGTGTGCATAAAGCGCTACCACCAACCGTGCATCAAGTCGATACCATCTCTCGGCGTGCGAAAGATACCCCGGGAACAATGGTTCGCATTACATTATTAAAATGGTATACACCACCCCTATACGCAAAAGGGGTGTACAGCGTGCGAACACAGCGGGTGATGTCACGATCCACTACCGGGGACTCTCGGCGTCCTCGGTCGGCGCTTACGTAAAAGTTCATGCACTTTTGCGACTAAACAGTTCTTGCGACACAGCACTCCTTTTCTCGACAGCTCCCCGCACCCCAAGGCAACGAAAAGTGCTGCGACCCGGCGTGCACTCCGTGCGAATCGTAACGCGAGAACGCACATTTCCGCAGATGCTCGCTGAGAAGTGACCTTCGTGCGGAAGCGAGCCTGGTATCTCGTGGACGCATGCGTTGCAGTCATACGTGCGGACCTACACACTTTAATGGCCGCATACCAGACAGAGTAAACGGCGAAAAGAGAAGCGTGTTTACACGGGCTCACCTGCTGTGCAGGCGCACATATCTTTCTTAAGACAGGCCTCTGAACAAAGAAACTTTAGAGCTTGGAAGGTTGCCACTGCATTTTCGAAGATAATAGCAGGCTGGACAAGGTTTCTAGCATCGTGCGTGGCGTTACGGACATCGCCTCATCGGGTGTGGTCGAATGAACAATACTGTAAACGATAAACATATTTTCAGCCCCGCCGCGGTGGTCTAGTGGCTAAGGTACTCGACTGCTGGCCCTCGGGTCGCGGGAAATACTCCCGGCTGCGGTAGCTGCATTTTTGATGGATGCCAAAATGCTGTAGGCCCGTGTGCTCCGATATGAGTGCACGTTAAAGAATCCTAGGTGGTTAAAATTTCCAGAGCCTTCCACAACAACGTCTCTCATAATCATGGTGGTATTTGTACGTTAAACTTCACATATAAATGAAATCGTTAAGTATATTTTCAAAGTTCCACATTGTTTTCTTCCTCTGCGTGTGTACTAGTGATGCAAAGTTAATGGCAAAAGGGGATTTGAAAACTTCGATAGTTTTTTTTTTAAATTATCGATGGTGTAAGAAAACTGTCCATATTACTACTATTGATATACTATACATAGTATTAGTTTTGGCACAATCTATAGTACCGTCAGTAGCATCAATACAGGCAAAACTAATGATAATGATGAAGCTCTAAATAAGTATGCCGTTGTTGGCTAACTAAATTGCCAAACATTCACGATGGCCTGTTATTAGCAATACTCAGTTTCTTTACGAGGAATTTTTGGTGAAATAAATAAGTTATTTTCACGGCGGAAATGCCCAATCGAATTCATTAAAAATTCATATTCAAAAGAAATCAATTGCACAGTACAATTAAACTTAGCTCTTGATATTTTTATGTTAGGTTGCAAAAGCTCAACAGCTCCTACGTACTTGATAATTTTACTTTGAAATAAAAAAAAGCCAATATAGGCCTGGATCCTCCCAATTCCACCATTTTTAACGGCTTCTTCCACACAGGTGAGCACTTCACCCTAATTATCATTGGTCAGCGAGACATTCTGAATAGAGTACACGAGTATCTCAACTTTCTTGCCCTTGAGCCCGCTGCTCCTGCTCCACCATTTATCACGCACCCAAAGAACGAAATTTATGCAGCAGTGGATTCACTGCTGCGGTTGATCTTATACTACCGATACGGTACTGTCACACTACTAATAGCACTATCGATAGTTTTTTTTTTACCATCGATAGTTCGAAACTATCGACAGTATCGATCTATCTATGTCGGTACAGTTGTGCATTATTTCTAACTACAGGAGCCCATGGCTGGTATTCATGACGTTTGAATAATTAGCACACGTAGACGGGTACGAAGCTTATGTACAGAGTGCTACCACAATAGTATTCTGACACTGGCAAAAAAAAAAAAAAGCACAATTCGCTCTTCTTTCGCTGTAACCTTAAAAACTGAAATTGTTTTTTTTTTACGGCCTCGCAAATACTGAATACAAATAAAGACTGATTTTCACTCACCAAATCCTAATTCATACTGAAGTTACGGAACATACAAAGTTTCTGTCCATGATGCAGCGGGCACAGTGCCATTGTCGTACATTTGATTTCTGATTAATTTGTGGGGTTTAACGTCCCAAAACCACCATTTGATTATGAGAGACGCCGTAGTGGAGGGCTCCGGAAATTTCGACCACCTGGGGTTCTTTAACGTGCACCCAAATCTGAGTACACGGGCCTACAACATTCCCGCCTCCATCGGAAATGCAGCCGCCGCAGCCGGGAATCGAACCCGCGACCTGCGGGTCAGCAGCCGAGTACCTTAGCCACTAGACCACCGCGGCGGGGCGTACATTTGATTTCTATCCGTAGCATTTCGTGTAGGATGCGAGTGCACAGATCGCATTAGTACGCCGGGACTTGTATGCAGCGTAACCTTGTGTTGATATGTAGTGATTAGATTACCGGGTATCGCACCGCGGTGCCTGTACCGTTTTTGGCGAAGTTCTCTTGTGTGCCCTGGACAAAACCGAGGCGCTCCGTGTCCTCTTCGACATCGCCGTCTTCGAGCCGTTCCTCTAGTTCAACGCCTTCCGCAGCTTCTTCGTCGCCGGTGAGAACATCACGTGGGAGAGGGTGAAAGAAAGAAACAAACAAAGGGCAAACAACGTCAGATAGTAGGCTATATATATATGCACGTCCAAAACAGATGGGGTGAGGACGGTGTAGCGAGGTCTTGGGTACACTGCAGGAGATGAGCAGAGGCATGTACTGCATGCGGCCGCAAAAGCCACTTGACAAGGGATTTCAAAGCGATGAAGGCAGAACAGGTTTGCGATGAAGAGGAAGCGAATGTCGTGGGCATGTGCCACGTGAGTGGATTGACGTCGGACAGGCGGTACAGGATGTGAAAAGGCAGCGAGGCACGCAGTGAGGAGACACGCTACGGACACACGAGAAGGTGGTGATGGACGAGGCAACAGGCGTACAAGGCCATCCGGGTCATCGCACGTTCTGTGTGCGATCATTTCATACACGAATCAGCGACAAACCTTTAGACACGGATAGCGAACACACAGACGGATAAAGGGGGAGGGTCAAACGTAAATCTTGTGTAGATTTGATTAAAAAAATGCCAGGCCTGAGCAGAACACGCATCGTAGTGACGGCGAAAGCTGGAACAGCGTCTTTTTCTAGAGCCAGTTGTAGGTTAGGGGCAACTAATACAAGTACACATTGACGGTACCCAATATGTCATAAACCACCGTATCTTTCAGAAGGTAGGAAAATACCCAATATGTCACTGTTCACTATTCTGCGGATTAGAAATGTACTCACTTAAACATATGTAAGGCATCATACGCACTCTGTGTTGTGGCTGATAAGGGTGACGAATTGTGGCTGAGCCTTTTTTTAATAGGTTGGAAGCATCGGATGACCCACTAGCCACGCAATACGGATTGTGCGACACCTGGCCGCAACTTTAATCTGCCACGATGTCGTATTATATATGTTGACAGAGTTTGTTACCCGACGTGACACTTGCATAGCGTGTTTTAGCGAGGCAATTTCAAGAACTAGCGCGTTTATGCGAATACTCGAAGGCTACGCAGAGGTTCCGGGTTCAAGTTCTATGAAATTCTGGAAATAGTTTAACTACATTTTTTTTACTTATCGCAGTAGTGTGGCGGTTACGCACACCAGCGTTCGCAGCGTCGTTTTACTACGGCACCTAACTCGTCTCTTGTTGTGATCTCATTACAGCTTTCAGTGTGATATAATAAGGGCCTCAACCTCAAACACCATCACTGTGACGAGCGTGATGGCCGAGAGAATGGAGGTGCGAGGCTGGTGGCACGGAACTTCATCTGCTGATGGAGGTGCTGATGCATCATTGGCGATGCTAGTAAAACTGACCGACGTGTTACGAAACTTTTCAATTACCTTTTTTTTTTCTAATTTCGCACGATAGCGGGTACGGAAATCGGCAATGGCGGACAACTACCCCATTGACACGGCAGTTGTGATCTGATAACTTCTATCGCTGTAAAACATTGTTCGTGGCACAGTGTCTCCATATTTGACATTGGTTCGTTTCGGAAACGAGGTCAGAAAAAGTTCTCTTACTACTTTAGTCGTACATCAATGTACAATAATTCTGGGCAGCACAGCCACTGCAATCAGCATTGTTTGGACCGCTCTTTGCAGGCACAGGAGATCCGGAATGGAGACGTCGAGGCAGGAGGAATGGATACTTAACAGATGGTTTATTTACATTATGCACATGGCGAGCGCTCCTTGATTGAGTCGGGTGGCTCATTATAAAGGGGACGTTTTCCCCAGATCCCTAGTTCGGGGAACGCGTGCATATAGCACTGTTCAATCACCTGTCACACACAACTTGCGAGAGTGACACACACGCACGGCCGAGTAAACGTCCCCCCCCCCCCCCCCCATTGGGGCGTGGTCACTGCACTGGAATGTGGCACCAACGTGGCTCTTTCTTGTCGTGTGCGTGCCGCTGGGCGAGGGGTCCCAAGCTTGCGACAGCATACATCAAAAGGGCCGCCGTAACAAAGCTCAAAGGGGTCCGCCGAACTGCTCGCTCAATTAGCGGGGCGGTTGACGTCGGGGCTGACATCGCTGTCTTTTCCGAGGAAGATGTTGCTAGTGTGTAAACACTTGTGGCCGTCTCGTGAAACGGCTCACGGCAACTAACGGCACGGCGCCTCGCTTCCCGGCTGGGAAGGACAATACATGGCGGATATTGGCCACCAGCCATTCGGCGATTTGTTTGAGGATCAAAAGAACGCTGCTCCCCCGTCAGCCCGGGCACCGGTCTCAAGAGCATACAAAGGATCACAGACCTTCTTCAACTTGGCAATCACTGAAGCCACCGGAAATGTTTATAGTGTGCTTCTTTGTTTCTGTGTTTATCAGTCAGCTCATCTATTTTGGCAGTGCTTCGCCTATACATAGGTCATGTATTTGTATTGATGATAATCAGGGTGACTCAAAAATCAGCAGCCAATCCACGAAGTGAATGCTAATGACGGAAAGAAACTAAGTTCTAAGGCCCATAATATCTACGTTGAAGTCGGCGACTCGTATAAAAGACAGACGGACAGACGGACCAACAGATACACGGATAGACTGAAGGACGGACCGATGGACAGAATGAGTATGGTCCATTTTTCAACCATATGCACGCCATGAACGCTCTATGTACGGTATACATGCAACACCCGTGTTTCGGTCCGATGGCAAGCTACGACAACGACAGCGTCAACAGACATAGTGCGAGCCTAAAGATCTTCGCTCCTAAAAAGCTAACAATGCTGTGTACACATGGACGCATCGCTGATGAGCACATTTCGGCCACTAAATAAACTTGTTCTGAATTACAGCGAGGAGGCATACATATGTACTGACAAGTATCGAATATTCAGCACAAGGAGCTAGGTCTCATTACTAGAATACTATGGGTATGTAGTGCTCGAATTCCCAACAATCTGCTCTTTGAGCTCCCTGATAAAAAATACTACTAGAATGTATATTACAGTATTATTTGATAACACGATACCGACGATGATAACCGCAGGAGAGACACTGATGGGAGTGCTATAACAGGACAAGACAGCAACAAAACCCAGGGGCTTGTGCCATACTGGGTGAAGCAACACAAAAATATGGATGATAAACACATGGTAAGCGGAACTTGGGTGAACACGAGAAATATGCAGGTTAATGTAGTAACGGGTAATACAGAGAAAAAAACACGCGACAGTACAGGTGACGACAGTTCGCAGGCTGATTTGCACGTGGACTACTCAACAGCAATTATACTGACAACAACGCAACAAGGAACAAGGAATACCCCCCCCCCCCCCAAAAAAAAACCCACACACACACAGACGAGTCCTTCATTTCAGCACGTGTAACTCTCATGAGTGCAAAGCCTTACTCAAAATGTTCCCAGTGGTGGTGCGATGTGGTTCCCAATTAACACGGGAGGTAATTGAGGCAGCAGAAATGGCGAGACAACTGCGTGACCATATCGTCCATTGCGTCGACGAAAAAAAGAAGTTCACTATTTGTCCCAAACGCATGACCGCTTAAAGAGACGTGTGCTGATATCATATTTTGTTTTTCTTAAATTTTTTTTTCATACATAGGCTTGCACTTTTTTGTTCATATGTCGTTTTCTTCATATTCTGTTTCGTTTCGGAAATAAACTTCAGTTGCAAGTTCAGTGCTAGTCTGTTTTTTTTATTATTATTGAAATAAAAAAAAAACAAGGAGTTCTTATCCCTTCTCCCTTGTTGCACTGTTGTCAGTTTACTGTTATCGGCAAAAAGCTATATAAACGCACTACCCCGCACTACGCCCGCTTGTATATGGCACTGTGAAGCTAGCTCAACATTAAAACAACAAAAAGTGTTGTGTGTTTACTCTCGTGGCGCAGCTACAGCTATCAGTTATTTGATTTCTTGTTTCCTCCTACTCTTTCACGCTGCTTCGCCACCGCGATTTGCAGTGCTCGTATGTCCAAGCGCGAACAATTTCACTAGTTTTCAGTTTGACACGTGCTTGTAATGATGATACAACTAATTTGCGGCAGTATACCAAACTCAGAAACGCACGATACTGGGTGTACGTACTGTAAAAAAACTTGCAGTTAGGCCTAAAAGTTGATTCATGCCGATGATTCGCAGAAATTTTATGGATTAGCCGCAAAGCAACTTGCTGCCAACGGTCGCCAATGGTCGCTTTGGTTGATTGACTTGTAGGGTTTAACGTCCCAAAACCACCATTTGATTATGAGGGACGCCGTAGTGGAGGGCTCCGGAAATTTTGACCACCTGGGGTTCTTTAACGTGCACCCAAATCTGAGTACACGGGCCTACAACATTTCCACCTCCATCGGAAATGCAGCCGCCACAGCCGGGATTTGATCCCGCGACCTGCGGGTCAGCAGCCGAGTACCTTAGCCACTAGACCACCGTGGCTGGGCTGGTCGCTTTCGTCGAAAAGCGACTGCTTGAGCCCGTTCGCTCTTGACGTAATTATCTAGCCCCACGTCACGCAGTTCCGATGCTTGCCCGAACCGGTGCTGCAAGAAGACGGGTAACGGCACATTTCGGTGCGATAACAAGATAGTCACACTATATAATTCAGAGAAACGAGTGTTATGGTTTTACGTCGCAAAATCACACTAGCATTATGAGACATGCCGTAGCGGAGGACTCCAAAAATTTCGACCACCTAGAGTTCCTCAACGTGCAGCTAAATCTAAGCACGCTAGCCTCAACCATTTCGCCTAATTCACCGAAATGGACCCGCCGAGGCCACGATTCGATACCGTAACGTTCAGGTCAGCAGTGAATAATTCGGAAGGCGAAAACGCTGAATTAATCAGTCGGATACGGTTACCGTAAAGAAAACAAAAAACCGCCCGAGGCGCAAGCACAGCGATTCGTTTTTCACGGTTCCTTGTGTATCGGGCTCTTCAATCGCAGTTAAAGGGGCCACTAACCACTCCGCGTTTAAAGACGAGGGGGTAATTTTCTCCTCTCCTTCATACACGCGATGCATCCTCCTCAACCTTTAGTTCTAGAATGCACAGAAACAATATCAGCACTAAGCGCTAGAGGATTTCGCGCTTCTCGGCTGCACGCTGTTATCGCCGCTTACCCAGCTGTAAACACACACAAAAAAAGAACTTTGATCGATTCATTGTGCACGGTATTCATGCGAGGCATAGAACGGATGGGCGGCTGCATGGCAATGCAGTGCAGGAGACAAACCACATGTGATATTTCACGTATATCAACGAATCGAGAGCATGTACGCTATAGAGGTCACTGGAACTAACTGTCTACGTCACAGTAGGGCGCCAAGAAGGCGACAAATATCAGGAAAGAATATTGCGCTTTTTTGTTGTATTTTGGGAGACTGCTGAGTGGTCCTTTAAATAACAAGATCCGCCGCAATTTGAATATTGGTCCCAGTTCGTAGTTCCTTCATCGAACATCTCCATCGTCTGCCCACCCTACCCCCATCTACCCGTTTTGATAGCCAGCTGCGAATGAGCCGTTACTGTCCACGCTTCATTTTACGAGCTCTGCAGTTGCAAGCTATGCACTAAAAATTGGGCCCCCAAAAAGGGTGTCTTTTTGCTCTACAACAGTAAAGGCCCTCTATATTGAGTGTATCTTCTTGTATTATTCTCACGCACCCGGCACTTCCAGGTCACGAACGACATGTACGTTACCCAGCGTGACATGCAATTCTTGAGAGGAGAGTAGCCAGCAAAGAGTTTTCAAAAAAAAAAGGAAATGCAAACAATCCAGAGGACGATGATTGTTTTGGAATCCTTTGAAGAGGCGAAACTGTGTGGTGTGCGCCAAGCCACTCCTATCTTAGCAGCTTTGTATATAGTAGTAAGTGGGGGTGGGAAATGAAAGTGAGGGTAAGGACGAGATAAGAAATGGCAGAGGATGAAACATAGCATGTATAGGAAGGGGTGCTAAGGGTAAGTGAGTGTGAGGGACACTGATGTATGGGTGAGGAGGATAAGAATGAGGAAGGGAGAAGGTATAGCATAGACCAGTGTTATATTGTAAGGGGTGTGTGGAGGACCTGCTCAGCCTTCGCACCCCTGGTGTGTAGCTGCCCCAATCTTTTTACTCGCTCTTAAAGTGTGAAGACCCCAAAAGATCACTTTCGTTTGCAAGAAGGCTTAGAGACAGGAGCGGGACGTTACCGTATCGGTTGTACGCCTCCCGCGTTCCGTACACCGTGCCGGCGGGGAAGACGGCCAGGTTGTGTCCCGTGCGGCAAAACAGCTGCTTGACGGGCCCCAGGTGGTCGGGCAGGTTGTCGTCCCGGCCGCCCAGAAAGGCGGGTCGGAAGCGAGCCATGTTGCTCCAGATGGCGCTCGCCTCGCCCACCAGCCGAGACGGGGACCAGCGCGAGGCACACGCTCGCGATGAGCCATCGGGCACGCCGTCGCTTGCCGTGGCATCGCCCGTCGACGGTTCGCCCGAAGCTTCGCGCGCCAGTTCAGCCTCCTGCGTGTCCAGTGCGGAGAATTCATCACGTCATCGCACACTCGAAACACAGTCTGTCCGTCCTAATATACAGAGCAAAAATGGAGACATGTCCGCGCGCGCGCGAAGATACCCTTTCGTCCTTTATGAAAGAGAACACGCAGCGGCTGGCCGCAGCACCATCAACTAACAGCTAACGAAAGCACACGTCCGCTATTGGCGGCATCTATCGAAAAACAAAACAACGAATCCTTACAGGTAGACAAGCGCTGCTACATCATGCTGCCACTTCGGTCCCGCAACGGGCGATGTCGCCTAAAGCGGACGTGTTTTTCTTAGATGTCGGCTTGTCGTGCTGTAAGCAACCACAGCAGAGTGCAGACCACGCGCCTGCGTTTCCTTTCATAGAGGACGACAGCGTATGTGTGCTCTTTGGAAAGTACCGAATGAAACGTGCAGACAATTAAACCAAGAGAAACAGGGCGCATTATTCATTGTCTTTTACTACAGTGCCACCATTGCTGAACTAAATTAGAAAGAATAAAAAGTGGACAAAAGAACACCCTCTCCATCTCTGGAATTTGAACCAACAGCCTTTTAACTACACTTTCGATGCTCTAAGAATTGAACTACGATAGAGGACGCTCCCTCGGCCCCTTTTTTGGGGGGGTATCTTCGGACGCGTAATGCCCTAGATTGTTACCCAGTGCTACTCGTACAGAAAGCGGTGAGTGTTGAACCCTGTTTTCGCCAGAAGACACCGTGTGGAAAGTGATATTTGCACGAGGTGTAAGCTGACTAACAAACCCTCACAGACCACCTAAGGCATAAAGTGTGCAAGATACAAGCCCCAAAAGAACTTTCCTTCTTTCGTACTGTGACATTAAGGACATTTGTGCAGCCAACAACGGTGAAGCTTAGCCAGTTATTCATTATATTGATACGTGTATGGAACTGTCGCCCTGACACAGCTGAATTGGCACCCAAATGAAGAAGACGACAGCGTGCTTGTTGTGGGTTGGACTCTCGAGCTTCTCCCGTTGGCCAGCATGACTCTGCGCTCTTTAAGCCGTTAGCAAAACCAGCTCTCAGTGAATAAATATTCTTCGTAACAATATCACCGGTACTGGTCCGAAGACCCCTCAATGTTCGTAACGGATTAATAATGGACTTGTCTTTTGGAATTATTCTATATCTAACTTATACACCTTTTTAATAGTTTTGAATGATATTTTCTTGGTTCACCGCGTTTAATTACTTTTTCCTCCTATTTTGGGCTTTGTTCATTAAGGAATATTGATTCCTGGTATTTAAGTGCGTGATCCTAAACGTAGATGACAACCCCCCTCCCATTTCGAATGCTCTGTAGAGAGCACCAAGTTGGCTGCTTGTATCACAGGTCATTTGGCTTCTGCTGAAGATTTCCCTTGCGAGTGCGTCATGCCGCTTGAGTTACGTTGGCGAAAAAGACGTGGAGACAATTTGCAACAAAAAATTCTCAAGTTTATACCCTCTAGTAACTTCACTCGCTTCTAGCTAATACATGGGACTTTAAAATAAAATATTGTGCATAGTTTTAGCCCAACCACAAGACAAGTTTTTGACACTGAATACAGAGCTCCCCCCCCCCCCCCCATCTAAAAAGTGAAATGCACAATTTTTTTTCAGACTACCTGCTATAGCTTCACAGTCCAAACTATTTTTCAATTTGTAGCGTGTTGAACAGGCCACCAGCACATATTTTATTTGTGTCCTCTGAGCTTGCAATGTTTCCGGGAAAAAGTCCCAAATTCGACAACATTATTCAGCACTGATCGTGCGAAAAGTCTTCGAAAAATTAATATAGATCACTCCATTACAGTTTGATCACTCCATTACATTGCCACAAATACCATTTTATTGAGTGCGTTTGGAAAACATTTTTTGAAAATGAAATTGTTTATTGCCGCCCCCTAGCTCAGTTGGGGGCAAGCTACCGACTCTCATAAATAGGGAAGAACGTTTTTGGCAACGGAAATAAACGACCAGGACGAGTTTCGAACTTCAAGAAACACGTGCAAAAATTTTTCAGTCATATTCGTGAAGGTCGAAAAAACGCCGGATGATTTGGCATGGAATGAACCAAAAGCGAGAAGATGACAAGATCATTTAGGGATAACAACATGTGCTGTTTACAATGAAACAGAAACAATAAATCACTTTCTACTCTCACGCCGCCACTTCGCCTTATTGCGCTGAGTAATTCTTGAGAGAACGATTGGTATGCTCGGATTGGCAGTTAATACATCCACCCTTTTATCGTTTGGAGGCAGTCAGTTGGGTGCGGGCCGCAGTGCCATTCTGTCAGAGCCACATAAATTCATTCAGACAACCGGAAGGATACGCTGCTAGTGGTACTGCCAGATATATCCAATCCTTCGTCCCCCTTCTTCATTTTTTTGCTAATTTGTTTTATATATTCTGGTTTATCGAATTCTTCTGCACCTTTTCGCCTTTTTTTTAAAGAAACATATATTATTGTTCTTATCTAATTTCTCTCCTTTTCAGCAAGCGTTGTATAAAAAGTTTCTATTATAAGGTACAGTGTGGCCAATCCCCCTTGTGGGTATGGGATAAGATCTTCTAGGCGACAAGACAAGACAAGATAACAATCATGACAGGTGGTGGTAACTTGCACAGACCGCTTTGCGAGGCAGGCACCATTCAATACTGCTTCTGGCGAGGCGTGTGCGCAGGAGGCATGTGCACGGGAGGGGGGCTTCAGTCACCTAAGACGAGGGGATGCAAAGTCAGCCATGTTTACATAATGCGGAAGGGAGCACTGCGAAGAAGCTTCCCCGCCTCTCTACCATTGAAAGTGTACCCCGCGGACGCCTGTGGTCACAAACCATAAGTTCAGTCGTTATTAAACTTACACAGACATATCGGACATCAAACTCGCGAATCCTATGCTGTGTTTTGAATAACTGTTTTATGCTGTACGCTTTCCATTGGATGCACACCATTATCAAGCTGCTTGAGAGATATGTTCGATGTATTCGTTATATTAGACGACGACGATGATGATATATGGTGACTAATGGGTGGGCTATACTTAATGAGTTATATTGGAGGACGAAACAGTTTTTATGGGCTGTAGATATGAGCAGAGGTGGGTGCTCGATTCTATTAATGACGTTAGGGTAGCTAAGAGCGTGATTGGGTCGGACATTCATCTTCCCATCCGAAATTTCACAGTTTTGTCTCTACGTATATATACACACAAACACACCCCTAAACATATATGTACGCAAAGGCTGAACCCCCTGCTCACCACCGCAACACTAAAAAATTTTTCGGCTGCACCCTTGTTCCAGGACCTCAAGTTTATCAGCTGAAATCTACAGCTAAGCAAATTAAGGCTAATTAAATATAGCTTTTCACATTATGAGGCAACCGCTGTATTGGTTAACACGGGGTGAAAGGAAGGGTCATGTGCAATGCAAGTCAGCAATGGGCATTCCTTGACTGACTGGCCCCACCGACGTATGCACACTGCATGCGCTCTCATATTCACTGGTCGTCGTTTTCGTAACGTGAAGTCGTAGACGAATTGATTGATATGTGAGGTTTAACGTCCCAACACCACCATATATATGATTATGAGAGACGCTGTAGTGGAGGGCTCCGGAAATTTCGACCACTTGGGGTTCTTTAACTTGCACCCAAATCTGAGCACACGGGCCTACAGTCCTTCCGCCTCCATTGGAAATGCAGCCGCCACAGCCGGGGTTCAATCCCGCGACCTGCGGGTCAGCAGCCAAGTACTTTAGCCATTAGACCACCGCGGCGGGGCAAATCGTAGACGAATTAGGAACCTACAGGAGAAAGTTGCCGATTGTACATCCATAGCCACCGAAAAGCAGCAATTTAGGACAGGCAGCGCTCGACCGTGCGAACGTGGCAGCGAAAGCACCGACTGTGTACGGTCGACATCATCAGAGAAGATCGGCTGAGTGAGCGCGATCGATGTTCAGATGTGTCAGAGACACACGCTTCCTAGACAAATTAAAATCACAAAAGACGCAAAGGCTCACGAAAGTGAAGGCCGCAGCAAGGACGGGAACAAAGTTGAAACCGATATCAAGTAGTGTCTGTCCTGCCAGAGCCGAAAAATCCTGCGCTGCTAGCTTTTCCTTGTTTTCCGTCCCTATCATATATAGCGCAAACGTGCAAATTGTCAACAAGAAAGTGGCACGTGCTGGTTTGATTTTAGAGGGCGCTAGAAATAAAGAATCCAGAAAAATAAATCAATTCTACAAAGATAACACAGTGGTATCCACGCTATATAGTTAGGTACGAGCTAATGTTAGTCGTTTTTTTTTTTTTTTGGTAAGTTCGGACTTGCCATGAATATGACTCCCTTTAAAAAGTCGTACACGAGACAATTCACGATTCCAGAGTAAAAGGCATAACATTCTTTTTTTTCTTTTTTTTTCAGAATGTATGCGTATACGTAGCTCTTTCAAATCATCCACACTTTATATTGGGCTGTTTCCTATCGCCCAATAAATGGTTAAGTGTTGTGAAGTGTATAACAAATTGTTCTTACGGGACATGGCCTTGCACAGTAACGACACCCACATTCTCTCGTAAGGGAAACGTTCCAATTCAATGCCTACACTTGCAACACAATTGAATGCTGCTCGTGCACGAACGATGTGACCCCACTTTTAAAATATAAGGGCTTCGTGTAGTAGTAACCGACTGGTATGTATTCTTGCTACGTGGGTTGACTACGATATGCAATCAGATAACGCTCAACCAGCTGACGCACGCAATTTAGTGAGAACTACTAAAAACGAGAATACTGCGCATAAGATGCAGAGGACGTCTCACGAGCTATTTCACGTTACAGAAGTCAGGTCACGTACAAGCGTAGAGTCAAATTTTACGAGTAGTTACGACTAAACGAGCTCATTAATTACATTAAAGGATATATATAGTTAATAAAGAAGGCAATGAATAGGAGCAAAAGAAAG